TAACGGAAAAGTCCTTTGTTAAAACATTTGCACCCTGGTCTTCCTGACGGTCAGGCATTGCCTCCAACACAGCCTTAATGCAGCAAAACATCAGGTTTGTTCTTAAATTGGTCCCACCTAAGGCTGATCTGTGGAGCTCGGTTTCAATCATATACTTAAAACTGGGTGCCTTGCTGCACTAGAGCCTAAAGACGGGCTCTTTCCTTTCTCTCCTTTCCTTCTGCTCAAGCAAATCTACCGGGAGGTGGCTGGAGGTATCAGACCTGACTGCCACGCGCGGCAGGAAGGAAGCAGTTAGAAATGTGATTTTGGGGTTGTGAGCCCTGCTCTCCACAGTGCTGCTAAATGATTTCTTTCCTTTCCTCGTCTTCCATTTAATTTGTCCATATTGTTCACCTCTTAAACTCTGCTTAATATTTGCCCCCAAAATACTCCTTGCAAGATGTTTGTAGCTTATGTCCAAATGAGAGGAGGGTCTTCCAGGTCTGCTGGAGTCTCGTGGGGTTTTCCCATGCGCACGCCCTCTGTCTCCTTCTCCTTCTGGTCCCTCGCAGGTCCCCTCCACATCCAAAGAGAGGACAGTTGGGGTGCATCAGAGATGCACTAGCCTCTGCTTCTCTGCGAGCAGGGGGTGGGGATTTTTCCCCGTGCTTTGATCTGTGGTATGGCAGCGTAATCTGCTGCAGCTGTGGAGTCCAGGCCAGTTCAATACACAGAGAGAAATCTTGAAAATGGGTTGGGAATTGTTAGCAGACTGAAAGAAATCCAGTGAATGTCAAACTCCAGCAGATGTGGGGATCCCCATTTGCTCCCTTCCTCCTCCTGTGCTCACTTGGACCCAGATACCTTTTCCCAAACTAAGTTTGCATCCTCAAGAGAGCAGGAGCTGACTTCCAAAAATGTCAGCAGAAGCCAAATAATTAGGGGAGAGCGTGTAAAAACAGAGTCCGTCCGAGCATGGAGCAGTAGGGTATGTCAGAGCTCGTCCTGGGTGTGGCCATACCCAGGGATCCACAGCTCTTCACAGCAGGATTATTTAGCGAGCCACCATGGCTCGTTCTCCTTTCGTGGTCCTCCTCAGCAGAGATGAAGCTACGGAGCACGTAGATTTTCGTGCACTACATGCTCTTGTTTCTTAGTACAACTTCATATGAAAACTGGAAAACTCACATGCCAGTGTGGGAGTGGAAGTGGACTTGAAGACAGCAGCAGGGTAAAGATGACTTGAAACGCCCCCTAATTATGAGAGTGGGAGTCTTCTATGCTGAAAAACAGATTTGATATTAAGAGCTCTAAGTGACTTTCCTGTTTGAAAGCTTTATAGTAAACAAAATGTGATTAACTCTCTTAGTGACTCATTGCAGGAAAGATTTTGATTTTCAGTATGGTGCTTTTCTGTCACATACTTGTTTTAATTATCCCTGCTGAATAATAGAGCTTGGTAACAGCTTGGGCAAGGTAGGAGGGCAGGTCATCAAGATAGCTGTCCTTTTTTAATATTCCAGCATTCTTGCACAGAGCCTTTCTTAGCGTCTGTCCTGCCACTGACAGGGCTGCCGGCTGCGGCACATCCTGTGAGATGCTATCAACGTATCCTGTAATTTTAGAAAAGGTTTGAGGGGCAGAGCGAGCTGCGGATGATTCGGGGGGGAGATGAAGCCCTGACTATTGACAATGAGTCTGTCTTGTCCCTGCCTCCCCTGCTCCAGCCCTCGCAGAGTGATGGAGAAGAGAGTGACGGGATCTGCTGAGGAACTCATTAGAGAGTAAAACCGCAGAGCAGCCACCGGTACCCACTGCCCTGCTTTCCCATCCCGCGAGTCTTGTATGCCACGGTGCTTTTATCTGTGCCTTTACGGACTAGCTCTGCTTGGGGTTTTTGGTGGTGGTGCTGATGAGGGGTGTCCCTTTCATGATGATGCTGAGGTGCAGACCTCCCAGGCCAGGGTATTTCTATGTCTGAGCTCCTGGCGCGGAACCATCTGAGCCGTGCGTGGAGCCACCCCCAGCCGTTCCCATTGCAACTTGCATAAGACGACAGCATGCACAAGGTTTGAAGGTGACTCTTTCTTCCGGAGGCTTCTGGGAGGGCCAGTGCTCAGGCTTCAGTGTAGCTCTCAGGGAGTTTTACAGGTCTGAAGGCCAGCAGGGATGTGCAGGGTACCAGCATGCCGCAGGCTGCCCGCTCTCTGGGGAGGGGGCGTGCATCGCGCTGCTTTGGTACCCTTCCTCGTTCCTGTGTTGTGCGGAGCCACATCAGACACCACAGAAACCTTTGCCTTATTGCTGTCTTCCTTATCAATCACTTCTGTAAAATAACGATTACCCTTTGCTATATCTCCTTGTTCATCCTCGCTGGTTACGATGGCGTTGATTTGCTCTGTTGCGTCTCCAGCATTTGCCTCTGTGGGATGATGCTTTTCCTGCGGCCGATAGTTGATGCTGAGAGCTTGTAGGGAGCGTGCTATCTAGCTGGCGTTTTCTTGGTTGGCCACAGGATGGTATTGTGTACAAGTGGCCCTGCCGGGGGGAACACACTGACTTTCATCCCGCTCCATGAGATGTGCCGTGAGGATTTTTGGCTTTTAGTGCCTTAACTCTTCCAGGTTCTCCTGGTTTATTCTTGGCTAAAAATTACAGGATGTAAGTTGTCTGGATTCACGGATTTTGAAAATGTGTAGTAGTTTCTGTTTGCTGTCCTCTTCAGTTAGCATTGGCGTGAAAAATATTTCATTTTTTTATGACTAGGGAAAAAAAGGAAAAATAATTTGGAACAGCACATGGGTGAAATCTGCTTGAACTCAGCAATGTGCCTGACAACAGGTATAATTTAAGGCCGTAAATAGCCCTATTGAAGGCTACTGGGGCCACCCCTATTCACAAAGACATACATGTCTAAACATCACCTGGTACAAGGCTCAGACCAAGAAAGGTGCCTCTTTCCTGTTAAGTTACCTGCCAAATAAGCTTGTAACTATTTTTGTGGATCTTTCTTTGCTTAAGAAAGTCTATGTTGCGTTAAGCCCAAGGCCCAACTAACAACTTATATTGTCTCCAACAGCAGCCATTAACAGATGCTTGGGGAGGAATATAAAACATCGAGTGATCTTCTGGGGCAGCTCCTCGAAGCTCCTGGCAGTCAAGTGGTTAGGGGACTTTCCGGGGAGAGGTCGTGTTCAGAAGTTACCTTGAGCCTGTCCTCTGGGAATGTGTCTAATTCTTTTTGAACACATTTGTACTTTTGGCTCCTATAAAGTAAATGATTTGCTGTTTGGAAAAGTACATCTTCTGTTTGTTTCTAAACCAGCTACTCGATCCTCCCATCAGATTGCCTTTACGTCTTGTATCAGGAGAAACGGTCAACAGTCGTTCCCAGTTGACCCCTTCTGTATCAGTCAGGAGTTACTAGACTCTGCTCTGTCGTCTCTTCTCCACGCTCAACAGCCCTGGGCTCTCAGATGTCGAACAGCCCATACACAGCCTTGGGAACTGGATATTTCTGGATATTTACTTATGAGGTCTGGACAGTTTTGGGGGGTCTTTAACTGGAATTAGGAATTTTTCTTGAGCCCCAAACCTGCTAAACTTTGTTTAATGCCGCAACTGAAGATTTTTTTTTTAGCAATTTGGATGAAACCAATAGGCCAGGATGTGCCATAGTGCTGGAATCTCCTCCTCCTTTGAGCTCTCAGATTTTAGCACTGAAAGGTCACTGGTCTCTTCTTGAAAACCTTCCCTGCTGCAAATGTAAAGAAGCTTGAGGATGCTCCTGGTGTAGCCGGCAATGGGTCCTTACAGAAACTCCCTGTATTTTTCTACTAAGGAAGGCAGGAACATTATAATTAGGGGCAATGTCAGAGGTAGGCAAATACCCCCTAATTGTATGCAGATGATAGAGCTGGTTCAACCTTTTGACTAGTGAAGCTTTCCTCAATTTGGGATGTTGTGATCCTAATCAGGGACCTTTCGCCATACATCAAAGCCGTCAGGCTGAACCCGCATACCTTCAGGCTGGCACGGCTTGATTGCAAGGCTTCCTGCTAGCAGGCTCATCCCTGGCCAGGTGTCTTTCCTGCTGTGGACGACTGATTCCTTTCTACTCTTCATCACTGAGGCAAAGAAATTTAATCCCAATATTACTGCCAGCCCTGGAATGGACCCACTGATTTGGAAATTTCACCCTCTCATTGCCCTGAAATATCAGTGCACGGCAACCTCTGATACCTGCTTATTTCATTGCCAACCTCTAACCTAGGGTGGAGCAGACCTGTCATTAGCGCATTCATCTGTGTTTAGATCTGTCAACTTCCTTCCCCTTCTCCTCTTTTGTTTCTCTAATTACTTCGATTGCATCTCTGTATCCAGCTCAGGGCTGGTGAGGCTGCGGGGTCCCCATCCCAGCCTGTGTCACTGTTTCCTTTTCTATAGGCAGCAGAGGCAGCTTTGCGAGAGGGAGACAATTGGGTCTGGATTTTAAAATTGTGAACACAGCTGTGTGTAGGTCTGCAGGTAACTTTTCAGTCTGCTATACAGAGATGTCCCAGTGGCAGAGCCTGGTTTTTCCTGTTGCTTCTTGATGCTCTGTGCCTCCCTGCCTCGTACCCAGCAATGCTGGAAGCCGATGCTGGGAGCCCTGGGCTGCTCATAGCTGCTCTGCAAAAGCTCAGGTGTGGGTAAGGCGTCTTCCAGCACCCTTTAAGTGACGTGGCATATTCCACAGGGATTTTGTGTCCAATTTTCAGTAAACAGGCAGTGGAAGGAGTCATGTTGGAGCCCTCGTTGTGTTATGTTCCCTTGGGGACAATGACTGGGCCTGGGGTGCAGATGTGGTGGGTCTCCGGGGGGTCATTCCAGCCTCTGCGCTTCCCTGCCGTTACAGGCTCTCCCTGTAGTTTAACCAGAGTATTTGGCATCTTGAGATAATACCTTGACGTACAAGATCAAGTAAAATAAAATATTTGTAACTGTATTTTTTGTCCTTTTTTTTTTTTTTCCCCCAGGGGCTGATTAAAATTCGAGGCGATCGCTGCTGGAGAGAGTTAACTTGCATGGATTATCACTACGAGGTGAGCGATCTGCACATTAAAACTAATTTCTTTTGTCTGCTTTACTTTGGTAGAAAAATTTTCTCTAACCTTTTCTCTTCTGCCAGGCAGCTCTCCGTATTTTCTTTCTTTATCACAGCCTTCCATCTCTGGCAACGCAGTCAATGTCCATGTGTTAGCTTGGTGATGCTATTTTTCCCAACCACAGTCCTAAAAGCCCAATTTCTCTCCTTCCCTCCCCTCACCATCATGGACTGATTCAGGAGCAAACCTGAGCCTCGCTGAGAACTCCCTGTGTAATAGTGCTACAGGAGAGGACCCAGGGGCTTTAAAATTCGAGGCGATCGCTGCTGGAGAGAGTTAACTTGCATGGATTATCACTACGAGGTGAGCGATCTGCACATTAAAACTAATTTCTTTTGTCTGCTTTACTTTGGTAGAAAAATTTTCTCTAACCTTTTCTCTTCTGCCAGGCAGCTCTCCATATTTTCTTTCTTTATCACAGCCTTCCATCTCTGGCAACGCAGTCAATGTCCATGTGTTAGCTTGGTGATGCTATTTTTCCCAACCACAGTCCTAAAAGCCCAATTTCTCTCCTTCCCTCCCCTCACCATCATGGACTGATTCAGGAGCAAACCTGAGCCTCGCTGAGAACTCCCTGTGTAATAGTGCTACAGGAGAGGAACAGAAAGGAGTTTTCCATAGCATTGTGCTGAATGCTTTCTGCTTATGCTTCCAAAATGCGGACATATGTAGACAGAAATAGAGCATCTCAGCGCTCTCCAAGATGCAGAGCACTAATTGTTGGCAATTCAGAATTACACGGTTTTATCTTTTTGACATCTGTTTCAGTGATTACATTGCGTTCTGATTATAAACTGTGGTTTGTATTCTGGCTCTGAGTGTTGTCTCCTCTTTGATTACAGAGAGAGGGAGCTCAGCTTCCCCTCTCTTTTTACCTATATTTTTGCATTTGCGTTTTGTATAAACAGTGTTAACAAAGAAATTGCTGCGTACAGCGACGCTGCACTGGGCGAGCAGCCCTGGTTTAACGAAGGAAACAGTACTGAAGCAGTATTGCCTCCTCCAGATTAACATCGCAGCCACTGAAAACGGCACACTACATTGTAACGCCTCTGATCTATAATCCACGTCCATCCAACGAGCGGGTGAGCGCGCCGCATCTGTTAGCACGAGGCTGCGAAGTCTCAGCCTGGTGCTGCACTTGTCCCGTGTTGGTAAGACCTGGGTACCTCTTCGTGCCTCAACCACACAGTTATTTTCAGCCGGGAGGCCTGAGCTGTCAGTCCCTGGAGATGGACCTTTGGGGTGACATTCTCAGTGGACCTCCATCACGTCTGGAAACCATTTCCCCCTTCCAATTAAAGCTGGCAGAGCCTGACTTCTCTGACCTGCAGAACGTGTTCCAAGGTGTTGCCTATGAATTACTTTTTACGGGGTAGGCACGCTGAGCAGTGGAAACGGGGACGCTCGTACAGGACCTTTGTCTTTCCACCCTTGTGTGAAGAGAATTGCACGTGAGTGCCAGGGGCTACGTTACCAGTCCTGTTACGGGATTGGGATTCTTCTCCCCAAAATAGGGAAAAAGTCTATCAGTTTCCCAGGCACTGACACCTTTATTTTTCGCTCCTGTGACTGAGTTAACTGGTTGCATGTTTTGAAATGGAATTTTGCAGGTCCAGAAAGCTGTATCTGCCTTTTCAGCTTTAATGCTCCTTTTTTTGTTATTATCATTTACTTTTAATGGGGTTTTACCCACTGAATGCAAGGGTGGGTGTTTCACCACCCTTTTTTTAGGGTGGCCTTTTACAAAGGCTGCTGCTTGTTTGGCTCTTGTCAGACCATCGGTGTCCTGCTTCATTCCGAGTAAAACTTTGGATGCAAAGACCCTTCAGTGCTGTTGTTCTTAATCCCGAACACAAAAGCGACTGTGGTAAATTGTCCTTCTTTTTTGCCTGGCAGCGCGAGGGCTCTGCTCCGTGTGCTGCCAGGCACCTGGCAGCAGTCAGAGAAAAGCCAACTCAAAGCAAGCCCCCCAGAATCCCCCGGCCGGCTCCGCTGATGACCCCAGCCCACAACAGTCAGCCTGCGTAATCCCAAATATTTCAAATCAAAACCAGAATCAGTTCTGTAGCCCAGAAGGCTAATTAAGACCATTCCTGTCATAGCCATAACGCAGGATCCCCAGCCTGTGCAAGTAATTGGGAACAGGGGCAGGGGGCAGATCACATTATCAATATCAATTATTTTAATCCGCAGCAAAGAAGCTGCAATAAAAAGAAAATGAAACAGGCCAAACTTTGTCTACTAGCGATAACAGACAAAGGACTGCAATTCACCTGCTGATTTCAACCAGCCAGAGGGAGGAAGAAAAGGGTGAAGCTGAAGATACCTCTGTGAGGGAGGGAGGGAGCTGGGAATCTGCTCGTAATTAGGATGATAAAACTGGGTATTGGACCAGCTCGTAAGTGGACCTGGGCCAAATGTAGTCTGCTGTGATGTATGTTGGCCACCCCAGCTCTCCTGTTCCAGTCCTGAGCTGCAGTCCAAAATCTACATGGGCTTCTCTGCCAAGAGAATTAATGAAAACACATGGCCTCCATCTCTCGCGTGGTGAGCGCACCCTGGACTATTTATTTGTAGTAGAACCAGCAGCTATGCTCGTGGAAAATAACATTTCCACTTTTGTCAGGAATCGTCTATAAAATAGTAAAATGTTGTTATGGCTTGGGTAATTAAACGGAGCATATTTTTCCTCCCTCTTTCCTTTCTAATGTGCAGGGCCTTAATCCCAGCCTTTATAGAGAACTGTTCCTCAACTGAAGACTCTCTGTTTAGAGGGCTTACGATCTGTGACGCTGTGTAATTTGGAGAGGGAAATGGCAGAACGCATGGTTTACATAGGAAAGGTATTTTCCTACCAGCCTAACGCTCCTCTGATCCCTGAGGAGTAGATGGGCTCCAGTAAGTGTGGAAGAGAAAGGCAGACACTGATGGCGATGAGAAGACTTTGCTACACCACCATACACAGCCTGGCACGTGGAAACTGTCTGGAGGCTGGGGTGAGGGCTGGGGGTAGAAACACTCGGCAGATTAATCGTGGCTCTGGGTGCCAGGAGTCCCAAACTCTAATCCTAGCTTGGCAAGACACCGCGAACGGGGAATTTAACCTCCTTCTGCATTAGTTTCTTTGCTAACGTGGCCAGAGGCTCCGAGGTAGGTGCATACGTTTGCACCCTGGTGCGCGCACAGGTCAGGGCTCCTGATGCCCGTTGTGCCCCGGAGCTTCACGTGCAGCGACGTCCACATTAGCATGTGAAAATGGACATGCCTGGGTGGTAACTGGCAGGTGAAGTCCTGGGGTCTGACATGCCATGGGCTTTATTTATCATTTATTGGGTTTGCCGTCGTTTCACTGCTGGCTGTGGTTAGATGGCTTGTTTTGCTATAAGAAGTCCCAGTAAAAGGGAGGCTTTTGCTCAGTGAAACCTGTTCCTGATGCAGTTAATGCGGAGGGAAGCTGCTTCTGGGTTTTAGGTCTGTTTGTCATCATGATTATTAAGCATTTATCTACTGTGTACACAATGGTTTACAAATATGCGTGCAGTGGTTTGCAGACTGGAGCTAGATTTCTGCTTCCACTGGAGCGCATGGCACGGATCCCACGGCATTCGGCAGCATCCCGCTCGTTGGGCGAGACAGAGCAGCCTCGGTTCCCTGCTTGTGTGAGCGGAGAGACGTGGCCGAGCGTGTTCCCCTGCCCCTGCCTGTCCCTGCCTGCTCCAGAGGGCATCCTTCCCCCCCTGCAGAGTGCAATAGCTCCCTCCCATAGCCAGGCTCCCATATGGACCAGGGAAAAAGTCTGCTACGGAAGGTTTTGTGCCACTTGAGGCCATTTCTGGAGCTTGTACAGCTTGCAGGACATTGCCCGGGCATGGGCTGGAGCAGCTTTCTAACTGCTGTTAGTAGGTACCAAGACTGCAAGCCAGGCATGGGATCGGGGAGCACCAACCTGCTCCCCAGGGGCCTCTTACCATTCCCTCCTGTGCCAAGCTTTATCTGGCCCAGGCTTTGCTGATTCTGGGTGTGCTGCTTAGCTGGCACAAGCACAATGTCTTAACATGCTCCAAATGGAGCAAATCCTCTTGTGCAAGACCCGTATTTTAAAAGCTCCCCACCAAACCTGCAGCTCTCCAACCCTTGCGCTTACACTGCAGAGCACCTTGCAACCATATGTCTTGGCACAGGCCAGGTTTGAGTGGCACGGGCAGGAGATGAGCATTTCTGACCTGCAGCCAGTCCAAACGGAGCTCGTGTTTTTGGATGCCGGTGGTGGTCTTGGCAGAGTAGTTAAGCGGATAATCTTAGGGGTTTAGAAATGGGGAAGTCCTACATGGTCACATCCATTGCATCTCCCCACATTCCAGTGCAGAAGTACTCCCCGTGGGATGCAATCCAGTGATGCATTTTTATAATGGCTGCCAAAGTATTGTTGCTTTTTAATTACAGACAGATACCTTGTAAAATTCAGCCACCAACTGGTAGGAACAGCTGCCGAAGCAGCTGCTCGGGCAGGCGAGCGCGCGGAGCGGAGCCCCGCTGGGCGTCCTCCTCCTCTGCCAGCTTTGCTCTGAAGCTGCGCGGGAGCTGTTAAACACATCCAGGGGGCCCCTCGTGTCCCGGTGGCCTGTCCTCGGCTGGGACGGTGCTGGGTGAAGCTCAGCAGAGGTGCGAGCCATGGCCTGCACCAGGCAAGGAAGCTGTGGCCCTTCCGCTCGCTACTGGAACAACTCGTATTTTATATTTTTAATTCTAAGATAATTTTTTTTAAGTGGTGTTTTGAAGGGAATGCCTTTTATCTAAGAGTTTCTCAATGATTGGCATCCTTTGCTGCAGAAAGCCAGGCTAGGAAGGCAAACTTACTGCTGAGACAAAGATGAGGCAGAGGGATAAAGGGAAAGGAAAACAAAAATCCGCTCCCGAAGCAACAAAATCTTTGTCAGCATTGGAAGTAAGACCGGGGATTTGCTTCCCTGCTGTGGAGTTATCTGTAGGTGCTCGGGATGGGTCGGTTGCCACAAAGCAGGAAAGTTTGAAGGACTTTGCTGAACCAGCCTCTACTTAATAACTGAGCCCCGTTTTAGTTCTGAATTTGTCAGGGCTGCTGAGAAAAGCTTTGTTCTTTACGTAAGACGCTTTGCAGCCACAGAGGTCACTTCTTCTGATTTGTACAAATTGTCACTAATTATTCTGTAACTGTTTTTCTTAAATAGAGGCTGTCAATCAGTGCTCCAGCTTCTGGCGTACAGCAGCTCTCCAGTTCCTGGAGAAGCTCTCCAGAGCACAATGTCTTTTGTACCTAATTA